ATCCTAGAGAAATCTGAGCTGACTGAGTTAGGGTTATATCCGAATTAGCCAAGCCTGAGCCACAGGCTCAACAGTTCGGATCAGGGCACACCACTGTGGGGTAGAACATAAGTGGGAGGGGAAGGAGGGATGGGGGGGGGGCTGTTTGCCCTTGCCTGACCCCAAAATCTGAGGAAAGTCGGGATAGTAGAATGGGAGAGAGGGTGACCGTACCAAAGGGACATTGGGGGAAGGGGATTGCATTAAGCAAAACATTTCCTCGATGCGATGATGTGCCCTAGTTGCGATTCCAGCACTGTTGATTAGAGGGAGGGGTAAGGATGGGGGCACATTGTTAGGTTTTGTTAACGTACCGGACCATTTTGTGAATACCTGTAAGCCTTCGTAAAGACCTGTAAACTCTTGTGACGCTGCCAAGTGGCGCATATGTTTCGGCCCCTTAGGTAAGCATTCTACAATTAGTCGGATTCCGAGTCCATTCCAACCATAACCCACCCTGAAGCCCCTTCCCATTAGGCTTGGGGATCTTCCTTCCTCATAATCGTAGCCCTGCGGAGTTCTGCACCGAAACGCCTCCAACACAAAAACTTCTCCAGGGTTGAAAGCCCGAACTGCTTGATAATGCAAAAAAATCATCAGTTTTGAAAGTAGCAAGGAACTATTATAGATTGTGATAGTGGCCCTGGTACAGTTTCGTCGGTTCATAAGAATTCATGAATCTCTACAAAATAGCCCGGTACGACAGGAATTAACGAGGCTACTCCCCTCCCCCCCCCTCCCCCTCAGCCGACTTCGTCACGGTCACAATATTCCTTCCCCTTCTCGGAAAATCCCAATGCATAACCAGCTGTTGGTTCTCTTCCAATTACCATTCCAAGTACATCTTTTCCTTGACAACTCCAGTCCTTAAGGGGAATTTAATTAGCAATGATGACGTCTTTCATATCACATGTTCCTTTCACACACATACACCCAGACTACGGTAGCAGATGTTTTCCGAGGCATCGATTTCTATCCGTGTCCGCCCATCGTCTTTTCACAGTTTCACAACCCTATCACTTTATAAAAGCCAACCTTTTTGAGCCTATATTGCACCCCATGTCATCATTTTTATTGGTCGATTTCAGTTCAACAACTCGTTATTCGGTTCGTTTGATGATCCGTTGTTCCAAGCACGAGCTGCTCAAGTCGCTTTGGCAGACATGGATGTCAAGGTGAACATCACGAATCCATTAATGCGACCACACGATATGTTCAGGTAGGTCTATTGGTGACGTCATCTCTGGTCCGTTCACTCCAGAAACTCAATTTAATTTTTCAGTAATTACCTTATGTCAACTAACGATCCAGCAAACATTTACCACGGATTGCCTTCCGCTTCCGAAGGTTTCGACCCCTCGGTTCTGGTATCCACCTCATCGGAACAGGAACAGATGACCCCACTTCAGCAGGTACGACAGGCTGGGAAATGCTTCTTTCTCGGGTTTCGTATCCAAATATTTCAAGGTGATGGCTATGCAAAACTACGGTGCCTCGTCACATTTCCCTCAATATCCGATGGCATCAACATTTCCCTCTGCGATACCACCGCAAGTTACCCGATATCCGCTCGCGGCACCCGCAGCAGGTGAGCACGAAGATTTCGCAGCTTCATGTAGGATTCATATCCTGAATAAGTCAATTTTTCCAGAAATCGACACCGATCCACGGGAATTGGAACGATTTGCTGAGCATTTCAAGCAACGACGTATAAAACTGGGTGTTACGCAGGTGTGTCAAGCTAGTGACGTCTGAGCATGAAGGTTGCATTCATCCGAAAATCCCCGGTTACCAATGGGAAGAATAAAGTAGATTGTAAGCTGATATTTGGGTAAAAGTTGTGGTTCTG